AATGCAAACATGAAGGAAGACGATGCATTAGTTTCTCGCTGCTTGAGAGATGGTAGAGTCTTGTACTTGACCTTGTTTTCCCAGTTTTCAATTTGTTTCCCTAAAATGAATTCCTGAGGGTCAGAATGAGGATTTTCTTTTTTAATCTCACATATATATATTTTCACTGGAATGTGGGTCATTTCTTGGTTAGACGCCATATGGCAAATGTGTAATTACCTGACTGAACAAGAGCATTAAAAGAAAGTGAACAAGTATGTTCTACTTCCTCACTCCGTGGGTCAGTCCTGGGCCCCTGAGTTGCAATGTTTGGTTGAAAGCTGGAGCCTCCAAGAGGAGAGCGCCCTTTCTCCTCTCAACTCCTAGGCCACATTTTATAGCTTTTTCTCTGGGTTGTTGGAGGTACATCTGGCCAGATGTATTGCCTAGAAACCATCAGCCAAGGAGGAGGAAACCAAGAAGCAGAAGAAAGTTGATGCGCATTAGACAGTCCTGGGTTTCAATCCTACCTCCAGGCTTAGTTCTGTGTTTTTGGACAAATCATGAAACTCTTTGAGCTTTGGTTTACCTCTCTGCAGAATGAGGATACTATGAATAATCATACCTGGCTTATAAAAAGAGGCCAGTCAACAGCAGTTTCACTGCCATTGTTATCTGAATCAAATAGCAGGTTGAGGTTTTGGAGGGGTTATTAATTAGTTGAAGTTGAGAAGTTGCTGTGAGTTCTCTGTGCTGTAGGTGAGGCTACAGAACACGGTAAGAGGCTCCAGCAGCTCTGTCTAGAACTTTCTTTTCTTGTAAACCTACTATGTGCCAGGCTTTATGGAAAATAATTACATACATTTAATTCTCACAACCTTCCTATGAGAGGGACCTTATGTCCACATCATGTAGATGTAGACGTCTACGTGTGGGGCATGTCTTCATGTAAGTGGGTGAGATGGGGTTTAAACCCAGCATTCTTTCCTGAACACTGCCTCTGAGTCCACTCTTCCCCATCCTGGCTTTACCCGGGACCAGGCAGAGCCACCTCCTCTGTGTTCCTTTCAGCATTTCCCCTAGAATTTTTCATCTATGTGTCTGTGGCTAGCCTCAAAGGCAGTCTCTTGTTCTGGTTATGGCTCACTCCCTGGGAATTAGCACAGTGCTTGCTGTGGAACGATGGCTTTCTAGATATGTCATAATGAATGAGTGAGGCTCAGAGATTGTAGGGCCTTGGGAAATTCAGGCAGAATCTCTCTGCCTCTGTTTCCTCCTCCCTATCATGAGTGAATCAACCTCTACCTCACAGGGCTGTTTGTGAGAATAAAGTGAAATAATGTTTGCAAAGTGCTTGCTGCAAAGCCTGGCACATTTTGCTATTATAATTGGTAGAACTGCTGGTTCACTATTACATTTCCATTGTTAAATATAATAGAGTCTGGTGCATAGTAAATGCACAACAAATATTTGTTGAAGGAAGAAAGGAATGCAGGGAGGGAAGAAAAGAGAGGAGAGAAGAAAAAAGGAAGGAAGGAAAGAAGGGAAAGAGGAAGGAAGGAAGGAAAGAAGGATGGAAGGAGGGAAAGAGGGAAGAAATGAGGGAAGAAAAGATGAAAGAAAGGAATATTTATTTAATGGAGGAAAGAATGGTTGATGCCATTAATAGACAGTAATTTGTCCAGCCTGTCTTATTCTTCCCAGATTGCCATATAATCTATGCTGTTAGGATTGCCAGATTTAGCTAATAAAAATACAGGATGCCCAGTTAAATCTGAATTCTGACAAACAATGAATACTCTTAAAATGTAAGTATGGTTCATGCAATATTTGGGCCAGACTTACACTCAAACCATATTTGTCATTTATCTGAAATATAAATTTAACTGGACAACATTCTGTATTTTATCTGGCAACCTTACACGCTTTTCACCCTGAACATGTGTTTTTATCAAGCCGCCCACAACAAAAGTGGCAGCTCATTGGACTAGAATACTTCCCTGCCAACAATTTCAAGGCTAGGTGTGCTGTTAAACTTGTACACTATATTACATGGTAATGACTATAATTTCAAGCCTTTATGCATTTCAGACTCATTGATTTGCTCTCTGTTTAATTTCTACTAGTCAAGAGCATGTGGCTTTTAAAGATATATACAAATACACATTGAAATTGTTTTACATTACTTATGTCCTAAAATAGAGATGCACACTTAATATTTTCTAATGAATTTTTAATGAAAAGTTGCATTTAATATTTGGCAGAGCATTTTGCAGGATTTAAGATATAGTGGATAGAGGAAAGAAAATTCAGATCAAAAGTTATGTCTACCAGAAAACAGAGATCTGTTAGAGCTCTCAAATTTTCCACGAAATCTTGATCATACTTTCTAAAACATTATGCCATTTTGCACAATTTGTGCTATCATACATTACAACTAAGATTAGAGTTCCAGATAATAGTGATGTCATTTCACGACCATTTAAAAACCTTTCATGCATCAATACAGGCACTGCATAAATATTGTTCTAAAAGAGGATCCTGGGAGTAGAGGCATTTTTTTCTAAGGTGGCCAAGGCATCAAGAATCGACCTTTGTACAGATGGGGGAAACATTCAGGCAGATAGGAGTATTTTTAAGATGAACACAAACACAGCCAGTACCTGCACCTTCTTTTCTGTCCACAAAGCATACGTACAAGACCATGGCTTTGAACGAGTCTCAAACATTCAAATCTGTTTTTCTGCAATCCTCTCAGAACCACAGCCTAATGGCACTTGTAAGGATGGAGCTCTGGTTTTATGTAATAAAAACACTAAGACAACACTTTCAAGGTCCAAATTAGATATGCTCATCCTGTACAAATGCAGAGAGGGGCCAAAATAGCTATCTTATCTATGCATTTAACAGATTTCTAAGTACCTTCTGTATGTTTTTCCAAATTATTGCTTTACCTTTGAGTCCGTAGAACAGGTATTATACATTTCAGATTCTGACTGACGATGGATCAAGCTTTCTTTTCCTTCCCTCTCCCTATTTCCAGACCACAGTGTTTTGGCAATTATATTAATTTTTTTTTTACAAAAGGTTACAAACCTAACAGGTGGAAAAGTGGTCTTTATTATACCACAAATAAATATTACTTATTTGTCTTCTTCACCATGGTTTCAACCCACCACTGTTGGATTTGAAATCTTTCTTCTCTCTAGGTATTCTGTGTATACCCACTTTTGTTTTTAAAAAAAGAATCAGGAAAACATAATGGCAAGTTATATAAGATTTAAAATGTTATATAACAAATAAACAGGATGTTGTCGAGTCCCAAGCTCAGGTATGATTTCAATGGATGCTTTTTGGCTTTTCTTACTGTGAGCTGAACAAATCATGCTTGGAGAAAAAGAGAAGAATCTGCCAATAACACATTTAATCATCATGATAAAAACATGTAAACCAAAAAGATGGTCTTCATTTGGGGCCAGATAGCAATTAGAATTAAAGGATGACTCCTCTCCAACAGAAGCGTAGATCTCCTCACTCAGGGGAAAGTCCCAGGCCATATATTTTAACTTTTTATTTCATCTTGGCCATCTTCACACTCAGTAAATCTCTCTGTCTGATCTGAGGCGAGCCCAAAGCCATGCCATGTAAACATCCCTCTCTACCTGGACCTCTCCTAGTGTCCAACCTCTCTAGCTTGTTCTGAAAGTCTTTATAAACCAATGCTCTGACAATAGGAGGTGATGAGCGATTATATGTTATTAGGTTTTCATATTTTTTTGTGAATTAATTAAGAGCTAATGAATTAAGAGCAAATCTGTAACTTAGCATGACATAAACTGGACTGGTCAGCACAGAAGGTTTAGTTCAGGTTGGGTTCCCATCTTGGGATGGCCCAAGGCGGAGGACCACCTGAACACATAGGAGGGCCCTTAGTGTGTGGAAGCATCATGCTGGAAGGGAGAGAAAAAGAAGCAGAGAAAACACAAAAAGGCAAATGAAAGAGATCTGTTAAGACCCAACCTTGCTTATACTCAACATTTGAAAGTGGCTGGTGAGACTAATCGGCTAAGGCATTTGACCTCTGCCCTGTTTCCTAAAAATGACACAAATACTTTGGAATGGGTGACAATATAAGGCATAAAACTTCTATGATACATGATGTGAATTATCCTGAAGGTGTGGGACTCCATGCACATGGACAATAAGTGTGCAGAAAGCCATTTGTTTCTTTATGAGAAATAAAACCTCAAGGGCATGCATTTCCTCATCTTTGCTAAAGGTAGACTCTAATATTGGTCTATTCACAAGAAAACTAAAAGGTGAGAGAAGAAAATAAGCTTCTTCTCTTTTCATCTCAATGTTCTGCAAAGAAGAGTATTTTTCTATCATCCTGTTAAGGGCGCATGCTCATTCATCGAAAACTTAATGTAGACAATAACCAAGGGGAAGAGAACGAAGGTGGTAATTGCTAACAGTAAGCTGCAAAAAAACCCAGTTATTACAAATAACAATCATAAAGGCAACTTTAAGCTATTTATGAGCTGATTAAGAAATCTCTGTGTAGTAACTACTTCTAGGAAAGCTCCAATGTTTCTTCCATTGCTCACCTTTTTATTACTTTATAAGTCACTGGCATTGCTATGAAAAGGTGGGGTGGTGAAATGGAATGGTGACAGAAGTTGGTATCTGTAATTAAAATGAAAGATAGCCTTGGTTGGACACTGGAGCTTGCTTGGGTAACTCAGGATTATGGATGATGAAAACCTAGAAAATGCAGTAGCCATCTGTGAACTTCATTTCTCTAAACCCATTTTATTCTAGTTCCCAGCTCTAAACTGGAGGACTTGAGAGAAGGATTAGGACTTATTTTTCACGATCTGGTCTTTCATAAAAATAAATCTTACTCCAGCAAGCTACTATCCTGCTTGCACTGGGAGATGCTAGCTGCCTCTAAGCATACCCATCTCCCTATAAGAAGCTCCTTACAAGGCTAGTCTCAATGCCTCGGAGCAAACTCATACCTGCAGAGCTATTCTTCATCCACGTCTGTTACAAACTGTGAATGGTGTTCAGGTGACTTGCTGTGCGTTTTGCTTAGGTGGAGTTTTACTGCATGTTTGCTCACAAATGTCCGACAGCACAACTTACACTTGAATTTAGAGTCTGTGTCCTCTTCACCAGCTATTGTTTCCGGAGACCTCTGAGCCGACGATACCCGGGAGATCTCTTGCTCCACCTTGCTTTGCTGGTCCACTGACAAGCGGGTCATGTCCTTCATTTGGAAACCCAGGTGAGATTCTAAGTGACTGATGTAGGTAGAAGGGGTTCTGAACTGGGAGGCACAGTCACTGCAATAAAAGATGGGGTGGCCTTTGTCCATGTTTTTTAGAAATTTTGTCCCGCCTGTTTTCCTAAGCTGGTACTTGACGTTAGCCAGCCAGTGACTGATAGTGGTCATTGAAAGTCCCGTAAACTTCGAGATTTGCATACGCTCTTGAGGGCCCAGATCGGACAGCAGGTATTTGCCCTCTGATGTCTGGAAGAGGCTCGAGGCAAACTGAGCTTGTAAAATCAGAAGATGCTGAGGATTCCAGTTGGACTGCCGGCCTTTTCTTTTATGCAAAGTCGAGACTTCACTGGAGACATCCTCAAAGCGCCTAACGTCCATTTCCAGCTTCATGGGAGGGACCCTGGAGGAAGCAGCGGGCTTTGGGGTGGTGGCTTTGGGGAGGACTTTGACCATGTCTGCGATGTCAGACAGAGCATGCTTCTGAGGTGGGGACGTACAGGATTGTGCTTGCGAGGACTCGGCTTTCTTGCTTTTGGACTTGGTCAGGTCAATGGGCTGATCGTTGTTCTCAAACAGGTAGCGTCTGGATACGCTAGCTGGCCTTGAGGAGGCGGGACTCAAGACTGGTTTGTCCATGACACTGAGATTCGACTTGTGGAACATGGAAATTGTGCTTGAACTTGGGCTGGAGCAGGAAGGTGAGCGTAAGGGCTCTGTGGCTTTGCCCAGGTGATTGTTCAGGACGGACTGCAGGGCGCTGAGCGGGTTGATACATGGCAGGGCCGGGGTGTGGTTGGCAAGGGCGCACCCGTTGCTCAGAGCAGAAGTGGGCTCCAGCGGCTGGGGTTTCTCCTTTTCGCTGCCCTCTTTCATCAGCTTGTCCTCCTCCTTCAGGGGACCCAGCTCAGTCTTTCTGGCTTCTGGGGGCGTTTCGCTTTTACGGAAAGAATCGCCCTCACTGTGGCTGAAAGATGAGGCCTCTTCATGGGGACTTTCTTTCCCACACTCCTTCACGACTTCATCTTTGTCTTCTGACTCCCTCTTGACTTGAGTGTAAGGGGCCAGGTTTGTGGGCACAGAAATGAGTGGCATCACTTTCCACTTTGGTGCAATGGGCCTCAGCTTGTTGGTGAGATTAGGCCGGATCTGCAGTACCTGGGATCCCATAGGCAAAGGTGGCTTAGTGCCCTCGGACAGCTGATAGGCTGCGTGGATGCTGGGGTAGGCACTCCAGCTGGGGGCCCCATTTTGGGCTTTGTTGATGGCTGTGGTGACAGTATTTTCCAAAGATTTCAAAATGTCCCCACCACCCTTTGAGCCATCTTCCAAGTCCTCCTCCCTTAGATATTGATATTTGATTGTAGGGTCTAAAGGTTTTTGTAGAGGATCTTCATAGTCCTCGCTTTTCACGACTTTCTCATCCTTGCTGGTTTCCTCTGGCCTTTCTTTTTTACTCTCTTTCTTTAACTCAGTGGTAGAGGCTGTACAGTCTGCTGCTGAGTTACTGGATGGCTTGGGAGCCAGAGAATCACTGTTTGGGGCCTCGGACAACGACTGCATTTTCTCTACAGCCAGCGGGTCTAACACCAGCTGCTTCCCTTTCTTGGAGGCAGAGCTGGTGACCTTGAGAAAGTGACCTGTGACCATCATGTGGGTGGTGAGCTGCTGCAAGGTGTCATGGGAGCTCCCACACTCCATGCACTTTAAGATCTGGGACTTGCAGGCCTCAAACTGCCAGGTGTAGCTGGCTCCATTCTGGTAGCCATAGCGGTTGTTGGAGGACAACTGCAAGTTGGCGTTCTTCTGGGAAGAAAAAGAATCTGCAAAAGATCCTGTGGTTGAATCGGGGGAACACGGCCGATTGACATCGAAAACGCGCTTCTTCGCAGGGGTGACTATCTTCGAGGAAATGGTTGGGACTGGCTCCTTCAAAGGCACTTTTTGGTAATGTTTTGTTTTAATCATGTGGACACTCAAATCTTGGAGGGAATCGAAGGAGTCGCCACAAAACATACATTTCAGAACCTTCTGAGCATCCTCCTTGTCCATATCCTGGAAAGCCCTCTTCCGGGGCTTTGAATAGCTCGCAGGTCTGAGCTTGTCCTTCTTGCGGTTGTCATCTTGATAGTGGCCCGTTTCGTTCATGTGCACGGTCAGCTCCACAAGGGTGTCGTAGGCAGCGCTGCACTGCCGGCATCGGAATCGGCTGGCCCCGGTGAACACAGTCCCGCACATCTTGCTGCTCTGCCGATACAGCTGCACTGAGCTGAACAGGCTGGGTTTCGAGATGGACCTGGCCGGCAAGTTCTGCTGCAGGCTTTTGGACAGAGCGTCTTGGTGCCAATCAAAATCGCTCTTGTTGCTGCCATTCCGGGTGTCACAGTGCCGCCTCTCACTATTGGACAGCTTGAAGCCGAGGCCCAGGCCCGACCAATAGGAATCAGACAGGATGTTGGCGTAGACCGCAGTCATTTTGTCCATGCAGTTGTGTGTTTCGTTTGGAAGCTTGACGTGAGTGTTGCTTTTCTTGTCCGAGGCATCTCGGCCGCAGACGCTCTTGATGTCCGACACCTGATCGCTGGCGTCGCTCAGCAGAGACTCGTTCTCGGCATCCTGATTGGACAAATGACTTCCTGGAGAGTTCTGGTAGCTGAAGCAGCCTTTCTGCTCCGGGCCGGTTTCTAGGTCCTCGTCTGTCCCTGTGTCATTGCCACCCTGCAGTTGAGCTACTGAACCACTGTCCTCTTCTTCCTCTTCTTTTATTTCCTCCTCTTCTTTCAGCTGTTCCTCCTGGGCGTAGCCTGCAAGAGACGAAGAAGAGATGAAACAACAATATCAGGCTCCATATTCCATTCCAGTTTCCCCACAGAGACTAAATGCTTCCCATGCCGAACTGAACAGTGATTTAGTCTACACTTTTATGCACTGTGAGCAATGGACACAGGAAAGCCAAATGATGTCTTTCGTGCCATCTACTGCTTTTTTTTTTTAATTGCCAGGAGTCATAATTCTTTATAAATGCCTCGGATCCCAAGTTAATAATTTTCAGGTTTAAGGAATATCTTTCTAATATTCCTATAATGAGATAGTTGCTAAATTCACTTTTAGGAAATCTGGATTGAATTTCATAGCCTATTAAAGTCAGATCTCTACACGGAAGAATGTTGGCTCATAGGGAGACAAAGATTTGACTCTTGACATCTAGATGGTAAAGTTTACCAAGACACTTGGATATATTGGCATATAACCATATAAATAAATCATTTTTGAGTGCTCAGAAGTAATTTGGATGCACAGCCATTATATTTTTGATAGCCACTGTCTTTTTACTATAACATTTTTATTTGTAGAGAATTACACAGCAGGATTATGGGGTATGCAAATAAAATCTTCTGTTGATAGTTGAAAAATTATGTAAGCTCAGCAAATATAATGATTTTAAAATAATCGCAAATGGTGTTAGAATGGGAGATTTCGCAACTATCTTATTATTCTCCAACAGGTTTATGAAGACCTTTCCAGACAAGGTTGAAAATGCCCTCTCGATCTTGTGCCTGTAATTTCAAATGCACTGTGATTTGTGGGTACCCGTCATGAGATGCCAATTATATATTTGATTTGTAGATGCAAAATGCTATTGGGGATGCATGCTTTCCCTTCTCTGAAAGGATTTAGGACCAGTAATTGCATGGGGAAAATGAAGACATGAGCGAGCTGGTGCAAAGGGAATTAATGGGCAAATATCCATCAATGGAGATGGGGAATGTGACATTATGCCTATGGGCTCATTTTCTTCACCTGGCCTTTTCAGAACCCGGCAGATAAATGCAACCAAAGAAGTCCTAAAGAAAAGGAGATCCAGTTTTATATTTGCAAGGCTTGCACAATCTTAATGCACTGTTTTCTTTAGGAACTTCTATCTCCCCTCTCTGTGGCAGGTAACGACTTGGCAAAACCTTAGAGCAGCTCTGTTATTTCCAGTCACAAAGGGACAAAGCTTGGAAAAGGAGTGGCCATGCACTGGAGGTTTGTCCTGTGAGGCAGGAACAGAGAATTAGAAGAGAAGGGGATTTGCTAGGATAAAGCAGCTACAGCCAGCAACTCCAAAGGCTTCCACTGCTGCTGCTGTTGAAGAGAAAGAATATTTATTGAGCAATTACTGTCTCCTAGGAAGTGAGCTAAACCCTGCAAATGCATTCTTTCATTTTGTCTAATAGCCACATGAAGTAGCTACTATTATTTTCATTTCACCGATGGGGAAACTGAGGCTTTAAGATAAGGAAATTCATCCAAGGCCACACAGCTAGTATTGCAGAGTCAGGACATACACCCAAGTCTGCCTGTTGGGAGAATACCCGAATACAGGAGACACCACTCTCTTTGTATTGTCAATCTAATGAAGAAGAACCCTTTGAGGAGACCCAAAGGCTAAAGGTTAAGCAGTGGAATTTCACTGAAATATCACTAAATAGAAAACCACATCAGAGGGGAAAACTGGGAAAACTGCAGACAAGAGCCCATGATTTTAGGGACAGAATGCCATAAAACAAGATGAACTGTATAAATTCAGTCTAGCCATGAGTTTTATGGTTGTGTTAGTTATTTTTCTGTTATTGGTGTGGTGTGTTTTGCTTTTCTAGCAAATTGACAGGTGGATTTTTCATTAAATTGTTGTTACTGGTCCCTAGTCTCAAAAATTGGTTTGAAAAAACAATAACTACTCAATCTAGTCAAAAAACCATTAACAAGTGGTCACAACTTGCAGGAACACTGTAGTTTAAAGTGGCTATATGGCCACATTAAATTATTCCTGATGGCACCATCCCATTTTCTTTTTCCTGGATTAACTTGTAAGTTTGCAAAAAGTAGGTACACCATTCAAAGAGAAAATTTCTGTTACAAAATTAATAAATGAAATAACAACTGATGAAATAAATTGTTACTGAGCCAAGTAAAATACATCAGAGAATCAGACAGATTTCATCAATCAAATAGGGTCGCTTTGAGAATGAAGGGGAACACATGCTGGGACAACAGGTGTTAGGCAGGATGTTCTGGGCTAAGACACGTGGTGACCACACCTATGGATAACGTCATCACAGCAACGAAGAAGCAAATAAATCTGCAGGTTTGGTGGGGACAAGGGCTTTCTGTCATCACAATTGGCTAAGGTATTTCTGGGTTTCATTCATCTCAGTATTTTCAGTGCCTCACACCTTGCCTGACACTTAGTAAGAAGTTGGGAAGTAATTTATGTTATTTCCTGTGTATGTTGATGAAATACATACATGCACTCTACTGTGTGCGCCTGTGGGTGTGTGTGTGCACACCGACACACACACGCAGGCATGCACAATCTGCCCACCCAATATAGTGATCTGCAAACCAGGAGAAAAGAAGTATTCTTTTATTCACTGACATTTGGAAGCAGAGCTTTCTGGACCAGCTCAGCCTCACAATCTACATTGTCCTTCTAAATGGATTCCCCAGAAGAAAAGTCAGAGACAGCAAATGCCTCCCCCACAATACAGATAAAATTTTCTGCTTAATTAGGCATTGACATGTTTACTATAACCTTTACAGAAGAGTAACTCGTGCTGAGAGACCCTTTTTGTCTGTTTTCCTCTGCAAAGCAGACTAAATCTCATGCACTGGAAATGGTAAGGCATTGAAAAACCTCATACAAAAAGTGCCAAACATCTGTCAAAGTGAGTGTGTTTTAACAATGGCTGAGGGTTCCAAGGAGGTTTTTTTAAAAACACATTTCAATATCATACAACTGTTTACTTGGCTTAAGTGATTTTGTTCGCCATTGGCAGTTGGGGCAAGAGAGAAAAGGTAGCCAGAATAGGGGTCATCTGGGTAGATAATGAGTATCAGTCTCTCTCTCTATATTGATGATTTGTTTATAAGATTGCATCGTTTGTAAGTCTTACAATAGTATGAGTGGATGAGTGGCAAATTTATTCTTAGGAATACTTATTTAATGAAGGAAAACCATCATAGTTATGCCAAAGCACAGCATGAAAGAACTGTCTCTGTAGAGCTTCCTTGTTGATTGGGGGTCCAAGATCAAACTTCAATATGGCAAAAATTTTCTTTTCCAACCTAAATTTCCAGTTTCATCCATTTCCCCAGCTTGACTCTGGCAACATGAGATGTCCTCATTCCTGGAACAGCTGATACATGAGCAAACCTGGTCCATTCTTTGACTGAACTACTGACTCAAGAGACCATTTCTCTCCCACTCCATGGCCACTGCTCTAGCCTGGGCCACGATGTTGTCCACTAGGTTGGACAATGAGCTTCCTGTTTCCCACAGTCTGCTCTTCAGGGAACTGCTAGAAGATTCTTTATAAAAGGGATTAGGTAATGATGTCCCTCTGTTTTAACTCCTGCAGTGTCTTTCTGTTGCACTTACAATAAAATTTCAACCCTTAGCATGGTCTACAAGAGCCTGCAGGATGTGTCCTTGGCCAACCTTCCTGCTCCTCTCTCAGCACCCACAGCCTGCTCTCCATGCCAAAGAAACAATGGCGTACTTGTTTCTCCTTGACTCCCCAAATCCTTCTCCTGACTGGGGCTCTCTGTCATTGCAGTTTTCTGATCAGAAAGTTCTTCCTCTGCACCATCACATAGCAGGTTCCATCAAGTCTCAGCTCTAATGGGCCCTTTTCAGTGAGACCTTTCCTGGCAGTCTCCCCTGCTCTGTGTAACTCTCAGTCACATCACCCTACAGTGTGAAATCCCTGGAGCACTTACCAGACTCTGAAATAAGCCCATTTGTTTATTGATTAATGTCTTCTTCTACTGAATGTAAGGTTACAATATCTATCCCCATGCACTCAGAATGTTCCTCCCCAGTGGTCAGTTCACATCCTAACACGGAGTGATGTCCACAGATGTTTGAATAAATTAATGGATAATACAGCAAAAAGGATTATTTCAGCTGCAAACTCTGGCTGCATTCCTTAGCAGTGCAGTTGGTACCTCTGGTGGGTAAAGATCTCACCCTCACCTCATGTAGATTGGATGTGAATTACAATCATCCTAATCAACTTCACTCAATGATAAAATGAGAGCATTGACCAAGCATGGAGGCTCACACTTATAATCCCAGCATTTTGGGAAGCTGAGGTGGATGGATCACCTGAGTTCAGGAGTTCGAGACCAGCCTGGCCAACATGGTGAAACCCAGTCTGTACTAAAAAAATAGGAAAATTAGCCAGGTGTGGGCACATGCCTGTAATTTCAGCTACTCAGGAGCCTGAGGCAGGAGAATCGCTTGAACTGGGAGACGGAGGTTGCATTGAGCCGAGATTGTGCCACTGTATTCCAGCCTGGGTGACAGAGTGAGACTCTCTCTCAATTAAAGTAAAATAAAACCAGAGCATCCCCATAAGTCATCTTTCCAGAACAACCCAGCTACCAGCTTCCTTGCTGCACAACTTCTTTGAGCTGTGGATTTACACTTGTAAGTATGAAGTCTGCAATAAGCAACAAGACCACAAAGCATCAGAAGCTATGCTCTTAATGTGAACAGACTTTGATTCAACAAAGACTCACACATGGGAACTTTGAAAGTACGGACTAATTTTATCATGGATACAGTCCATTAGCTGGTCTATGGTAAACAACATTACACATGTATTAGCAGACGTACATATTAGAGTAGTCTTCTCCTGAATTCTTCATCATAAAAGGAGAAATATGGGGAAGTATATTATATATGCTGCATATGTTTTACCCTAGTTGTATGTGGGTAAAAATTATAAATAAATCCTTACATTTTATTTTCTTC